GTAAGCCTTACAATTAGAGAAAATGTATGTTTTAGGAAAAAAAAAGATAAGAATGTTGATTTTAAAAAAAGTTACGGAAGTTAGCATATTCTCCATAACTTCAAAGTTTATTATGAAGATGTTCCCAAGAAGATATGCTACCAGTCAGGCCATACCTTCAACTTCCACTGGTCATTCTTTCTGGTTTTGATGACTTTTTTGGTGCCTCCAAAGTGCGGAGCGTCACCAGCTGCTTCCTCCTCTTCTTCCTCCAGTATTCTGCAAGGTCATAAACTATCATAACGCATAAGATACATGTAAAACTCACGTATCTTTTCCTTTCAGTTTCTGGCTTTCTTTGCGAGTGAAGTAGAGTATCGAAGAAACCATAATAACGAAAATTCCAACTAAGGCCGAAATCAATGTAGAAACGTCCATATGCTCAATATCCAGCATGTCGGACGGGCTACGTAATCTGAAAAGAGGATACACTTACAACAGTTCAGATGGTAGGGTAGCACTTGTTAACGAAAAAAAAGGTCCAGTTTTCGCAGTTGAAAGAGAGATCGAGCTTTGATCTTTCTGCATGCTATAATGATTCAAACGCTCCCATGTTTATATTAGAAAGTGCAATGGGCATTAGGCACGAGGACAACTGCTACAGCAAATATAACGATAGCACTACCACTTTACCCGCATGATAATTGTCATCTTATTTCAAAACCTGCTTTCAACCTTACACCCACATTCTGGCCTTATCCTTTGTCCAGGAACCATATATAGCAGGTTCTCCAGAATTACGTAGCAACCTGAGATAATGTCATTTATTATGTGAACTAACATATAAAATATTTGTATCTGCAGTACCTCAAAACGAGACTTTTATGAAGATTTTGTGTTTGTAGCGCCCTTATGTTATGCTTTAACAATATCAAAAATTTGCGATTTTGTTATTCAAATCGTTGACCAGTCTGGATACATCTCCGTCACTAACAACACAATTGTTATAATTTTGTAATATTGGTTGACTCTTCTAGTTACCTATAGAACAATTAAGGAAAAACACGAGAAGCTATTAGCAATTATCAATTGCTTTATCAGAAGAAAGATGCAATGAAATTAATCTTGGTTACAAAAGGATATGACAGCCCGACTCTGAATAGTCATAATAATCTAATAATCATTTCCATAACTAATCAAACACAAGAGATGTAGTAAAGATAGTAAAGAGTCCGGGGAAAAGAACAAGTTAACAAAGATCGCAAAAGCAGCAATATGAAGTAGATGTTATATCCTATTGCTTGGAAATTAACGAGTTGTTTAGAGCGTACCTGCTAGACGGAAGAAAGAATTACAAAGCTGCATCATTGGGCAAGCCAACGTCACTCAACATGCCCTTTACTATCCCAGATTAGGGTAGATACTTCACGAGATAGGACTGCAAACTTCTCAAAATATGCACGAGAACGAGAAAGCGTAGACATGCTTTAAAATTTTAAAGGAAGAAATTTCTAGGAGTTACAGCTTCAAAATTTGCCATCAACGCTAGTACTTTTTTTCCCGGACAACATGAAAAAAATTATGCTAGTGACAGCTTGGTATGCGTAAAAATCTCGCGCAAAACTTATAGAGCCACCCTCAGTTTTGTAGAGAGGGTAGACATTTTGTGCTTTGCGAACTAATGCGGGTATTCTTCTCCTTTTGAGTCCCAATTTTCGATACTTTAGATTTCGCAGAACGTCGCCCAGAGGAGTAAATTAAAGTTCTGATCATGAAGATCAATCCATTCCAAACATTCAAAATTTACTGAAGGAATACGCCTGGTAACCAGATCATAGTATCAGTCAACGTAATCATAGTAGCATATTTTGCCTGGTTAGTTTTACCGTAAGGTTGCGCTAGATAGATTTCAGAAGTAGGATCGCAGATTAAAAAATGGTCTAGTAAGATTTTATGACAAGCGGTCATGACAAACATGTCCATGCTACAAGGTAAGACCATCAAAGGAAAGCGGACAAAACTAAGGAACAACTTCTTATCAGAAATGATGGCTGACTTACTAACTAAGCTACTCCCCAAGTCTAAGCACGTAATCGTTCTTTAAGGGAGAAAATCGTTCCGGAGATTTAGGTCAGCCCGTTCTTTTCAGATCACTCCCACTCTGAGATTTACTCCTCGGCACCGCCCGTGTTTCGCTTCTCTCTAAAGCAGTGCTCTTAAGCGAGAAAGACATGCGATCCTTTCTGGGTCAAAAATTGAACATTCAAAATTGCCCCTCCACTATTCCCCGTCATTTCAAAAAGGATACAAAATCTCTGTTTTGACAATTGCAAGGTTCGAAGTTGCTATCTCTGTTCAGCACATCGAAATGATCAGAAAAGTTGGAACACGGTGTCGAAAATCTGTCTGGACACGCTTTAAGAAGGGATTGCACGGAAGGTGGAGGAAGATGTGGGGGATCGACATTACTGTCTGGAACTGCATTTACAGGGACTTCGTCAAACTGTAGATGCCAATTTCACCCTCATTTTGCATAAAGACGTCAACAATTGACCGAAAGAACGTGACAGATCCATACATTTTAGACTAACCTAGATTATACAATCAGACCTCGAATTTGTCAAATAACTAGATCATTTTTCAAGCGTCCCTGGATTTAACCTACAAACGTCCCCCACTGTAACTTTGCCGTAAGCCTTTCTTCGATTTGCCTCCACATATTTCGTAAGACTCAGCTTCAAACTTATGTATCGTATAACTTTCCAAAAAGGCCAAAATAGTACTAGAGAAGAGTTGATGTGGAAGGACAAGAATGTAAGTGAATGAGGAGGCAGATGCAATAAAAACCACAAACAACGAAATGGAAGAACCTTGTTCATAGAGTAACAATGGGTATAAACT